GGCAGGGCCATGGGATACCGAAAACAGCGAGAAACCGCAGGACACACTCTCCCCTTAGGATCCGTGTGCTTCAAGAGGGCACGAGCATACTTGAAGGGGCCCTGGGACACACAAATAAATACACACGAATGACAGGATTCCCCATATGTTCCCATATTTTCAAGGTTTTTGTCTTCCCCCCCACTTCCCATACTTTCCCGTATCTTCTGGGGAATCGACGATGAATTGCGTCTGTGTGCTTTTTCCCTCCTGCATACTTTCTCGGAGGTCAGCGCGGATTGCTTGACTGGGCCTCTGGGCCACTCTTCCCGACGCGTGGGGCGCGCCGGGGGCGGCGCCAGAGGCGCCGCCAGTGGGGCCCAGCGTCGATCCAAGAAATCCGCGCGGAGCTTCGGAAACGAATTCCAGGTCTCTCAACAAGCGTGGGGGGGTGGATCGCGTGGGGTGGGTGAGAAACCGCGGTCCTTCGGGGGGCGTGGGGAGGTTGGGAGCGAGAGGGGGTGGGTTTGGGGCGCGTGGGGGGGGCGGGTAAGGGGCGTCGGATAGGCCGGCACGGGGGGGGGGGCTTATTGAAGGATCTGGGGTACACTATGCTTGTGCCGTGATTTTCGGAGGTGGGCAAACCTCCCTTTAGTTAGCCACCATGTAATGAAAGGGGCCTAGGACCGAAACCGACGGAACTGGATCCGCAAGAATGACGGCCGCGACGCCCTCTCGCGAACCGAGAGCGGCCAATTCGCTGACCGACGTGTCAGGGCAGGATGCCTATCAACCTCCGAGCTTGGTTTTCGAACCCCAGCGGACAACATGGTTCAGACTGCGCTCGGCACGCCGACCTGATGAACGAGAAATCCGCGCGGAGCTACGGAAACGTGTGCTTCTGCCGTGCTTTGTCGGGCCAGGCGAAGGGGGGGGAATAGCAAAGGGGGGGGTGAGAATCAGCGCACGCAGCTGATTTTCCCGGCGCCTCCTGGCGCCGGAGGCGGCTGTGTGTCGAGGACTGGGACTAGCGGCGGGGCCGAAACCAGCTGCGTGCAGCAGATTTCGCACCCCCCCCTTTCCCAGTCCCCCCCCTGACTCCGAATCCGCCCTACTTTGGGGAAATTCTTAAGAAGGGCTTGGGATTTCCGCCTTACTTTTCAAGCCCCGCTGATGCCAGCTTCCGTCCTACTTTTCTGTTGCTGCTTCCGCCCTACTTCCGTGGATTTCCGCCCTACTTTCATGTTGGGTGCGGACATTTCCGCCCTACCTTTTCGGCCTCTTATAGGTGGATTTCCGACGTCACTTTAAGTTGGAACACAAAGCCAAAGTAGGGCGGATCTGGAGTCAGGGCCGGCGGCGGGGCCGAAACCAGCTGCGTGCAGCAGACTTCGCCCCCCCCCTTTCCCAGTCCCCCCCCTGACTCCGGATCCGCCCTACCTTCTCGGCCTCTTCTAGGTGGATTTCCGACGCCATTTCAAGTCCGAAGAAAAAAAGCCAAAGTGGGGCGGATCTGGAGTCAAGGCCCCCTTTCCCAGTCCCCCCCTGTCGTCCGGCCCGATCTGTGGCGTCCGAGCCCCCGCGGACAGCCAAAGTAGGGCGGCCGGCGGCGGGGCCGAAACCAGCTGCGTGCAGCAGATTTCGCACCCCCCCTTTCCCAGTCCCCCCCCTGACTCCGAATCCGCCCTACTTTGGGGAAATTCTTAAGAAGGGCTTGGGATTTCCGCCTTACTTTTCAAGCCCCGCTGATGCCAGTTTCCATCCTACTTTTCTGTTGCTGCTTCCGCCCTACTTCCGTGGACTTCCGCCCTACTTTCATGTTGGGTGCAGACATTTCCGCCCTACCTTTTCGGCCTCTTATAGGTGGATTTCCGACGTCACTTTAAGTTGGAACAAAAAGCCAAAGTAGGGCGGATCTGGAGTCAGGGCCGGCGGCGGGGCCGAAACCAGCTGCGTGAAGCAGATGTCGCCCCCCCCCTTTCCCAGTCCCCCCCCTGACTCCGGATCCGCCCTACCTTCTCGGCCTCTTCTAGGTGGATGTCCAACGCCATTTCAAGTCCGAAGAAAAAAGCCAAAGTGGGGCGGATCTGGCCCCCCTTCCCAGTCCCCCCCCCTGTCGTCCGGCCCGACTATGGCTTCCGAGCCCCAGCGCACGCAGCTGATTTTCCCGGCGCCTCCTGGCGCCGGAGGCGGCTGTGTATCGAGGACTGGGCCCGGCGGCGGGGCCGAAACCAGCTGCGTGCAGCAGAGTTCGCACCCCCCCCTTTCCCAGTCCCCCCCCGCGTCGTCCGGCCCGATCTGTGGCTTCCGAGCCCCCGCGGACAGCGTGGCTCAGACTGCGCGCGGCGGGCCGCCCCGAGGAGCGCCGAGTGAGGAGCGGTGCGGCTCTTCCGGCCGCGGCGAGCCTCGGCCACGGGGGAAAGGAGGAGGAGGAGGAGGAGGAGGAGGAGGAGGAGGAGGAGGAGGAGGAGGAGGAGGAGGAGGAGGAGGAGGAGGAGGAGGAGGAGGAGGAGGAGGAGGAGGAGGAGGAGGAGGAGGAGGAGGAGGAGGAGGAGGAGGAGGCGGAGGAGGAGGAGGAGGAGGAGGCGGAGGAGGCGGAGGAGGCGGAGGAGGTGGCGCCTTCCGACCTGGACCTGAGGAGCGGCCCGAAGGCCCGAGCCACTGCTGAGCCCGAAGTGGTCATTGGTGTCAGCGTCTCGACTGTAAGCCAGGTGGGTAGAAAAAACGTCTGCATCCCTTGAACGGCTCTGTCGAAAGGTTCTTACTAGGCAACGGCTGCAGCGGGCCACGTGGGCCCAGTCGGTCGGTCAAGGCCAGGTTCGAGCGCAGCTCTCTTAGATCGACTCAACACATGCAACAACACGTGACAAAAAACATCATGTAGCTCTCATCTGCCTGACAGACGGGAGCCAGAAGAGCGGAAGAGCGAAGCCAGAGTGCAGAGTTCAGGGGCACATGAGGACTCTGGCCAGCTCGGGCGCCGAGAGACAGCTCGGACGTCGAGCGCCAGCTCGGACGTCCAGCGCTGGTTCGGGGCCCGACGGCTGACACTAGGCCAGCTCGGGCGCCTAGAGCCATCCCGGCTTAGGTGCGAGGATGAAAGGAGGCAGGGAACCATACTTCGACCCTCGGCGAAGGCCTGACCGGCAGCCTCTGGCTTGGATACACCGGCGGCCGTATTTGTGCTCGCGATGGGAAATAACTTGGGCCCTCTTGGAGCTACATGGAGACGTCTTCAAACACCACGACACAATTTTTGGATCCGTGAAAACGGTCTGGGAACATCCGAGACCCCTCTGGGGGCCGTTGTTGGGGCCATGGACGATGACCCTGGGGGCACGGAATCACCAGGGAATGATGTGCGCCCATGAGGGGAAGGGGGGTCCCGTGTCACGCAACATGGAGAAAGCAGGCATGTGTATGCATATACGTACACGTATACGCTCAAGCATACAACTTCGAGTGCAGTTTGGAAGTGCATCTGGTGCTTGAGGCAGTTACACTGGGAGCAGATTGAAACCTGCGGCCACAATTGAAGCACACAGCTGGAGCATACAATTCGAATTATTATTCTAGGTCAGGCAGAGAGATGAGAAGAAGACGACGGCGGCGTGCGGGAATTCAACAAACCTGGAAAGCCAAATGGATATCTTATCAGAACTTCAGGATGACTCTCGTGGGACTGAAACGTTGCAAATATTTGATCCACGTCCTCCTGTCTATCCCGCATGCCACAGGAGCGTATGATTTTATGCAGCTGCGTTCGATAGAGAGCTACTACTCTTACATTTCAGAAGTTGGGATGTACGACTGAAGCAAGAATCTGGACTACACAATGTGGCAGGATTTGTAATTAATGATAACTCTGCGATTGAGTCTGCATGTCGGTGCGGAGGCCTGGTTGGGAGTGCTGCCTGGGTCACCTTTGACGGCTGTGCCCCGGCCACCCCGTCCTTCTCGAAGTCGAGGGCGATGAAGTCCGCGGCGACGGTCTCCTTTCGCGGGTTCCTCACCTCCGAGAAGATTGGGTCTTCCAGGGCCTTCGCCGACGGCGGGAAGCGAGGAGGCCAGGCCTTTTTCCTCCCCCTCCTCCCTCTCCTCCTTCCTCCTCCCTCTCCTCCCTCTCCTCCCTCTCCTCCTCCCTCTGTTCCCTCTCCTCCCTCTCCTCCGTCCCTCTTCGCCGCAGGCCAGGCCCTTCTCCTCCCTCCCCGCATGTGCCAGTCGCGGGGATGGCGCCCCCACTGGCTCTCTGGGGGCCGCCCGGATGGGGACCGTCCACGGTCCAGTGCGCTTCGGGCCAGCCTCGTCTTCAGGCATCGTCCACCAGCTTGGCCAGACTTCGGCCCAAGGCTTGGCCCCATGGGCGTATTCAACAGGCAGGGGGCGGCGGTGATTCGCCTTCGGCGATCCACCGCTCCCTGTGCTTGTCACCTCGACGTCATAACTATTTTAGAACTTCGATCCACCGTGTGCGTAGGCTGCATGCTGTACTTTTTTTGACCCTTGTAAGAAATTCCCACTGGCCCTCGGCTTGACCCGCCGGCCATACTGAAGGCACCAGACCGTCTCCCAACGGCTTTCCCGCTGAAGATGGCCCCAAGATGGCCCCCAAGACGGCCAAGACGGCCTCCAGGACATCTCCAAGATGGCCCCAAGAGGGACAGCGGCCCAGGATGGACCCAAGATGGCTGCCAGGGCATGGGCCTGGCACCCGCCAACGCGCATCGGCACCCGACCCCAGCCAAAGCTATAAGGCACCGGTCCGTGGCACAGCATGGCCGGATAGCAGAGTTACCGCCCTGCCAGTGACCTGGGACTCAGCTGCCCCAATCCTGTTCCCGTGACCTGGGGGTGAGGAGGAGGAGGAGGAGGAGGAGGAGGAGGAGGAGGAGGAGGAGGAGGAGGAGGAGGAGAGGGAGGTGAGGGAGGAGAGGGAAGAGAGGGAGGAGGAGGAGGAGGAGGAGGAGGAGGAGGAGGAGGAGGGCACGAAGCTCGGCGGGCAGTTCGATCTGCAGCCTCGCCTATGCTTGCATGCGATGCAGCGCGGCCAGTCTCACACCAGCCCGCTGGTCAGCTCCCGCGGCCAGGCCCACGTCCATGCGGTGCTTCTGGATGTGGTAGCACTGGCACATGAGGCCGACGGCGTAGATGCACTCCGTGATGGGGCGCTTCGCGTGGTACTGCTCGTCGCCGAGGCCGAGGAGCTCGGGGCCGTTGCCCAGGGAGTCCGCGCCCGCCTCGCCCGCGACCATCGCCCTGAGGATCGGGCAGGAGATGTAGTGCTCGAGAGCGTCCTCCTCTTCACAGCCGAAGAGGCAAGGGCGCGCGTCGATGACGGCGCTCATGCGACGCGAAGTCGTCCAGCCGTTGACTGCGGTGCGCATCCACGACCACATCCAGGCAGGGCGGACCTCCGTCAGCTTGCTACGCAGCGGAGGCCACCTCTCGCGCAGCACAGGCAACGGGCACTCGACGCCCCACCTGCGCAGCCGTCGGTGGATGGTGGCCACCAGGTCCTCGGTGTACAGCGAGCCACGGAGCGACGCGGCGGCCATGGCCTGGCGCTTGGGTTTCCTGGGAGGAGTGGCCGCTGCCGCCGTCTTCGTCTCCAGGGTCATCGCCGACTTCGCAATCTTGAGGTACCTGCTCGGGATCGGGACCGCGATCACGTCGAGCGTCGGTCTGGGGATGTCCAGCTGGGCGTAGGTGTCCGAGATCATGGCGTAGTTCTGCACGATCGCCCTCCGCGTCCGCCACCACGGTGGAGACCAGTTGCCCTTGATCACGTCAATCAGCGGGACATGCTCCACTGCAGCTTCATGAAGGTGGTGAAGGTGGGCTTCCCATCCGCGCACCGTGTTCTCCGCCGAGCGCATCATCGCCGCGAGCGTGTAGGGGAAGAGGCCAATCGGCGACGGGGAGCCACACCACGCGCTCATCGATAGGATGTCAGCCTTGCGCATGGACGAGGGCGGCAGCCGCAGCAGGCGGTGCAGGGAGGTGAACTCGACCTTCCAGATGGCAGGCACAATGAAGTAGAACTGCGCGAGGTACGAGAGGCACGGCAGCGCGTTGATGTTGTACGCGCGGGCCGCAAGGCTGGTGGCCATGCCTGTGCGCGCCAGCTCCCAGCAGCGGGTCCACCATTTCCCCGCCGCAGCCTTCCAGATGCCGAAGTCTGTGACGCCTGGGCCCAGGTGAGTGAGTCCCCAGGTACTTGGCCGTGGAGTCGACGCGGAAGCCCAGCCAGCGGGGGACCTCCTCAGCAAGGAAAGACTTGACGTTCAGCAGTGTGTCCTCCGTGAGCTCCTCCCACAGCGGGACCAGCACGCACTTGTGCAGGGCCAGCTGCAGGTTGAAGGCGAACTCTATAGAGACGAAGGTGTGGTCTATGCTCGGGAGGGCGACAGCGTTCTTGATCAGCATCCCGAGATCGTCGGCGCAAGCCGTGAGGAATCCATGCTCAGCAATCGCAGCCAGCAGCGCACGGATGGGCGCATCCATGGCCAAGCACCAGACCGTGCCAGAGAGCGGGCATCCTTGCATGATGCCGCACAGGAGCGCGAACAGCGGCTCGAGCTCCGCACTGGTGCCCTCGGCGCGGAAGGAGCTGAAGGCGAGGCAGTTGCTGTAGAGCGCCTCGATCACGTTGCGGAAGCCCAGCGGGACCCCGAAGCGCGGGAGGACCTTCTCGATAACTTCCCTGAAGAGCGAGGGGAAGGCCTGGCGGAAGTCGAACGACAGGAACATGGGGCGGCGGGTCGCAGCGCCAGGAAGGAGGCCCTCCCTACGGCATTCCGCGTCCAGGAACGGGATGTGGTCGACGAAGCGCCGCCGTCCCCGTCCAAAAGTGGGGCTAGGACGATGATAAATCCGTTTCCGGAGCGTTCCAGAGTGCACTCAGAGCGTTCTGCGACGGGAGGCCGCGGCGCCCGACACATCCCCCAGAGCTGCCAGATCTCAGAGATTGTCGGCTTGCCCTCGCTTGAACTTGTCCTCGTCCTGGCCTCGTCTTACGTCCTGACCCAGGCGTGCGATGTTCTGATTTTTTCAATGCGGATTCCCGGAGTCCCGACCCTTTCCCCAGGGCCAGCTTTTCATCCCGAGTCGTTCTTTGACGGCCCAGAGGCAGAACGAACGAACGAACGCAAGATCCGTGCGCACGCCGCGTGGGCGCCCGCACGCGCCCGTTTGGGAGTGGCGGTGGAGGCCGTAGCCTCGATGCGGAAAAACATCTGGTGTGTCTGAGGAACATGCAATGCGAGATACATAAAACGTGGAGTGAGAGGGTGACAACGGCCAAGAACCTCCCGTCGTGACTTTCTCACGACGCGGGCTTGGCTGGGAAGCATCCCCGTGCCCGTCCTGTTCGTTCGCCTCCCCTGCCCCATCCTCCATCGCCTCATCTTGGCAGCGGGCTGGTCTCCCCCAGACCTCCCGCTGCTCCACCTTTCCCGATGCGCAGGCCAGGGAGGTCCGGACCACTTCCCCGGGGCCGGCTTTCCGTCCCGAGTCGTTCCCTGAAGGTCCCGAAGCCTGGCGAGGGCCCCTGGAGGCCGAAAACGGCCCCAGACCGCCGCTCCGATCCCGAAGGTCCCGAAGCCTGGCGAGGGCCCCTGGAGGCCGACAACGGCCCCAAACCGCCGCTCCGATCCTGGAGGTCCCGAAGCCTGCCCTCGCGTCGTGAAAGATCACGACTGAAGGTTTTGGTTGTTGTGTTCCACTGCACGCAAGAATGACCCTGGGTAAGAGTGACCCTTGGTGCGCAGCTTCTGGGGGGGCCGCGGGGTGTCAAACACCAGCGCGCAAGACGCTGCTACTGCATCGCGTTCGGGGCGATCGGGGGAACCCAGTGGGCCCGCACCAAATGCCACTGTGGCGAAGGGTTACTCTTACGTGTAGTCGATTTTCGGCCTCTTGGGGCCATCACCAGGCCCCGAAAAACTGGTCCCAAGAACCCTCTCGGGCCACGACAAAATCACGACGGGAGGTCTGTCCGTATTGTCGGCCTCTGGGGGCCCTCACAGGGCCACGGGACCGTCAAGAACGACTCAGGATGAGAAACGGGTCCTGGGGAATGGGTCGAGACCCCTTGGGCGTCGACGTTGTGAAAAAATCATGACGCTGGGGGTCTGGGCTTGCTGCGAGGACTGCCGAGTCGGCCAGGGCCCCGTCGCGTCACCTCGCGGCCGCCACGAGCGCATCTCTCGGGCGGCGCATGGCCGCAGGAGCGGAGGCCGCCCCGGTGCCTTGCCTGATGCTTCAACCGCACAAGTGTCCCAGTTACCACAGCCAGTCCAGGACAAACAACACCGAATTGAATATACAGCAGACTCTTCGGATTGACGGATCAGGAAGGAACAAATCTGCGTGGCACGGATGCGGCAACTGCGCTGCAGTGATCGGCTGCCACGACAGTAAGCGAGAGCATCGATTGACAAAAAGGCAATGGCTGAGATCCTTGTCGACTTTGATTCTGTCCTTCGGGTTGAACTGCAGCATGCCAGACAGCAGAGCTATGCAATCTGGACTTATGTGCGGGAACTTTGACTGGAGACCTGGCGAAATCAGAACAGAATGCGCCCCCCCCCATATTGTGACAAGTGCAGCTCATCGCGCAACCACTGGAACAATTCTCGCCATCATGCTGATGATCGCATGACGAACGAGCACGCCATGGCTGCCATGACCCCTGCGCTCTGCGGCTCTCTCTCGGTCTCTTCCTCTCTGCGTGTATTATGTGGTATGTCTTTTTTGTTTTCTCTCCCTCTCTATATATATAGCTCTTGTGCTCGTGCCCACTTCTCTGTCAATTTTTCATACACTCCAGTGTGTTCTGGCCCTTCGCCCTGACACCTGTCCCCGGTATACGATATAGAACCATACATCTCACATTATGAATGTCTCTCCCCAAGTCTTCAATCTAACATTACTGATTGTTTGTCTTCCTCTCTCTTAATCTTTATCTCTCTCTCTCTCTCTCTCTCTCGTTCTCCCCCCATACCGCAACATAGTTGTACAGATGTACGTATGTGCATACATAGGTAAACATGTGTGTACGTCTCTCTGTCTCTTTGTGTATCTCCCTCTCTCTCTCCGTTCTCTCTCCCATTCCACACCAAGTTGCATGTGCTACACCATTAAAATGATGTCAGTACGAACCTCATGAACATCGCGCAGCCCGTCAAGTGATCGCAAGTCGCTCCAAGTTTGTGAAAGTGACAACATGAAGATCGAGAGACCAAATTCAATACACCAACGCAACTGACAGCTGGGTCGATGATCCTCCTTACTTGTCATCCCAGTCGACCTTCCCCGGCTCGCTTCGCGAAGCACTTGAGGTACCGCTTGGCATCCTCGTGGCCGCATTTGTGTCGGTGGCTCTTGCGTTTTAGCTGCGATGTGGGTGCCACACCAGGTGCACTTGCCATCGCTTAGGAATGGAACACGTTCATGCTTCTGTGTGCAGAAACTTGTTTTTTGTCCCAGGAACGAACGCCCGAGAGGGGGAGGAGGAGGAGGAGGAGGAGGAGAAGGAGCAGGAGGAGGAGGAGGAGGAGAAGGGAGGGGGAGCAAGAGGAGGAGGAGGAGGAGGAGGAGGAGGAGGAGGAGGAGGAGGAGGAGGAGGAGGAGGAAGAGGAGAAGGGGAGGGGGAGGAGGGTTGGGGAGGAGGGGGCGGAGAAGGAGGAGGAGGATGATGAGGAGGGCAAACAGGGGGAAGTGGGGGAGCACAACAGGTGGCGTTCCGCCAGGAAGCGCGCCCGTGCCCGCCACGCCTCGATGCCCGTGCGTGCGTAACCACGCGCACGCGCAACAACCAAGCGGGCGACTCGCGCGCACTTCGGTTCTAGCCTGGTGAAGACGCAGCTCACACTCAACGCGAAGATAGATCATGATCGATCATCTGTTCATGGAAACCGATCCCCTCGTATGTTCTCACGCCTCTCGGCACAGTGGCAGGACTCGCGCTGCCACTACAAATCTCCCCCGCTCATGACATCGCTAAGCGAGCCTGTTGCCCGCGATTTCCCTCGAAGCGCGCCGTCGAGGATGTGTGTAACAGGACGGAGGAGCAACGCGGAGGAGGACACGGGCCGGGAAGCAGGACCAAGGCGTTGTGGGCGGGAAAGGAGATACATGACTTATCAAACGCGCCGCAGAAGCCGATGGCATTCCACATGCATGAGGCTGGCTTGTGGACCCCAACTTGAACAACTTGGGGTGCAACCCATGAGTTGCAACGTGCCAGGGGTCAGCTCACATATACTACCTATGCCCTGAGCCTTCTGCGATGCATGGTATGGGGCGCAACATCTGAAATCCAGCCTACAGATGGCACATTATTGAGTGCAACATCTGAGGCGCAACCATCTCATTAGTTAGCAAATGGGGCGGGAACCATTCGGGGACAGAGCCGAGCAGCGGGAATCTGCGACGGACAACAAAGAGGCTGCCGGGGACATTCGGGGACAAGTGCGAGGCGGGGATTCATCTATATCCGCCGCTTGAGGAACTGAAATCCTGGGACTTCTTGGGACCGCGACTTCGAACGTGCAGGACGTCGGATGTCTGGGACGAGGCACGCCGAGCAAGGAGCGACAAGAGTCTCTCTGGCCATCGCTCGCCTCGGCCACGAGCGGGGCCCCCGATCGTGAGGCGAAGGAGCGGCCCGAGAACCGGGGCCCCTCCTGAAGCCAAGGCCAAGGCGGTCCTCCTTGCAGCGCCCTGGCTGCAATGTGCCGCCCTCGCACCAGGCAGCCCTACGAGCGTTGTGGATGCCACGACGATGGACACCCTAAGAGTCCTAGCCTTGAGTTAAACATGTGTTGAACCAATGTCCTGGAAATGTTTGGAGCATGTGTTTTTTTTGACAATTTGAAAACAGTTTTGACACATGTTTTAAACATCTGGAAGTTATTTGGCAACATGCTTCCTCTCCATTGATCGTCCTCCACAATACGAGCGACGCCGGTCAGCAGACGCACCCGAGGGAGGCGTCGAGCAGCGCAGGGCTGCTCGGCAAGACGCCCAGGACTGTCCGGTACACGCCGGGGTCGGCAACGTTTGCCCGGCGTGTCGCGGCGGCGGCCCCGGTGGCACACACAGCCTTGCGAGCAGGGCTGAACCTGAACGGTGTTTTTCGTTTTCGTTCTGTTTTCGTTTTCCCTCGTTTCGTCTTCAATCCGCCTGTACCGCAGAACGAACTCGAGACGAAAACGGCCCACGAAATCGCCAGAGCACCGTTCAGGTCTGGCCCCGCTTGCGAGCGCGCGTCGAGCCGCTCCGCGTGGCGGGAAGCTGGGAAGAGCTGGGGGCGTGGTCGCCCGGGGACCAGGATGTGGCTATAGCGTGTCGCGGGAAAGCATGGGGAGGGGAACGAAGCGTGATATAAGCATAATTATCCCAGCAAAGCAACCTAACAGCGATGTGTATAAGCATATCTAGAAGCATTCCCCTTAAGATTCAGGTGAGAATCCAGTTGTAGAATTCTGCTGTTCTCGCAGTCGCAGTCGCATTCGCAATGACAGTCGCAGTGGCAACGGCCTTAGGATTCCAATGGGAGGGAAACGAAGCGTGACATAAGCATAAAAAACTCTGCGGTCTGCGCGGATTTCTTGGATGCGCGCGACCCCCCTCCCTGGCGCGCGGAGCGCGCCAGGGGCGGCGCCGGAGGCGCCGCCAGGGGGCCCCAGCGCCGATCCGAGCAATCCGCGAGGACTTCCGAGCAATCCGCGCGGACTCCCTCATGGTGGACAAAGAGGCGAACAATGGCGGTGCGACACGCTAACCCGACGCCCCCGACCAGATGCACCCCGACGAGCGAAGCCCTTCCGCACGCGCGCGCGCAGAGAACGAATCGAACAGTGCAGGACTCGTGAGTTTAGGCGGCGCGCCCGGGGAGAAGCGAGAAGGTAGGGGGCCACATGTGAACCCTACCCCTACCCCCCACGATTTCTGAGGGGGAGGGTGGGGTTCACTTCGCTCGGGAGCTCCCGAACGAAGTGAACCCCACCCTCCCCCTCAAAAATCGTGGGGGGTAGGGGTAGGGTTCACATGTGGCCCCCTAGAAGGGGCGGGCCTCCCCTCAGAAGGCTCGGAAGTTTCCTGACCTTCTGACAAGTTGTCCGGGCCTTCCCTGAAGACGCAACAAAAACCTGTCAAAGGCCAGAGGCCTTCTGAGAAGCCCCGCCGCCTCTTGAGAAGGCCTTCTCTCCTTCTCACTTCCCCCCCCAACGCTCGCCGCAGAGAGAGTTAGCGCCCAGGACTGCTCGGCAAAAACGCCCCAGCTCTGTGGGATCGGGGCGCATCTCTCTTGGATTAGGTCGGGCATGTCCTGCTACAGGCGGAATTCGGACGAGACATAAAAATAGTCAAAACATATTTTCTTTTAAGCAGCAAATAGTTGAGAAATCGTCCCCCGACTATTTTTAGACAATTTTTGCAGATTCCCTCTGCAAAGAAACACGCCCGACGCAACCCTTGGAAGAGGGTTCGCCTGCAGCCCGACGAGGGCGGCGGCAGGCCACCCCGGGCCTCGCGCTCCAACAGCTCCATCTCTTCGTCGGAGGGGGTGCCGAGCAGGTTGAAGATCATGTTGAGCTGGTCGTGCTTCCCGCGGGTGTGGTACTTGTAGTCCGTCTTGTGCTTGTGGTCCGGAGACCTCGGCGGGAACCGCTGCCGCATCTCTGTCCAAGCGCCACCCCCGCCCTTCTCTCTCGAAGGCGTGCTGCCTCGGGTCCGTCGACGTCTCCGGCACGCTGGAGGGAGCTGACAAACACATACGCATACGTAGTTCCCCGCAGTTCCGGATAAGAGTGAGGGGGCAGCGGGGTCGTCGGCAGTCAGCGAGGCTCTGAAAAAGCCCGCCGCAGGCGCCGATACTTCAACACATTGCGCAACGAGGTCACCGAAGGCGCCGAGTACTCGTCAAAGCAATGTGTGTGTGCGTGTGTGGTGTTGCGTGTGTGGTGTGTATATATATATATATATGTGTGTGTGTGTGTGTGTGTGCGTGTGCGTGTGCGTGTGCGTGTGCGTGTGCGTGTGCGTGTGCGTGTGCGTGTGCGTGTGCGTGTGCGTGTGCGTGTGCGTGTGCGTGTGCGTGTGCGTGTGCGTGTGCGTGTGCGTGTGCGTGTGCGTGTGCGTGTGCGTGTGCGTGTGCGTGTGCGTGTGCGTGTGCGTGTGCGTGTGCGTGTGCGTGTGCGTGTGTGTGTGTGTGTGTGTGTGTGTGTGTGTGTGTGTGTGTGTGTGTGTGTGTGTGTGTGTGCGGGCCGCGGGTGGGTCGCAGCATTGGTCGCGAGGTGGGTCGCGGGGTGGGTCGCAGGGTGGGTCGCGGGGTGGGTCGCGGGCGGCTCGCGGGCAAGGACGACGACGACGACGACAACAACAATAACAACAAAATAACAACAACGATAATTTCAAGACTTTTCGCTCCTATCTGCTCACGTGCCAATCAGTACGTATATCCCAAACCCTCGGTACCCGCCCTCGTCGTCTTCGATCGTGCCCCCTTGGGGGTATATCTTCCTTGCCTGCCACGTGCATTTAGTGCAGCCCCTAAAATACGGGAAGAGAGGACGGGCGGAAGGGGGAGGGAGAAGAATGGAACACGAGAGAAATTAGCAGGAGGGGGGGCAAGGAGCAGAAAACACGTGGTAGAACCTGACGGGCAGATCGGGCGGGCAGACCCATAGCGGGCAGGTCGGGAAGGCGGGCCCAGGTGACGAGGTCGAGCAGGCGGGTTGCTGAAGCATGGGTCCTGCATGGGTCGCGAGGAAGTCTCGAGCGATAGCGCGATTCGCAAGTAAATCGTTAGAAAAACCACAGAGAGAGCGTGATACCTGGGCGCCAAGGGCGCATCGTCTGAATAAACTGCAAGGAAATCCCACTCGAGATCACGATACGTACATGATTTGTGAGGAAGTCCCGCGCGAGAACGCGATTTGGGAATACAGTGTGAGGAAGTACCAGGCGGGAACCGTTGTTGTTGTTGTTGGTGGTGGTGGTGGTGGTGGTGGCGTCCTTGTTGTTGTAAACCGGGGGCCAAGGGCCCAATTTGAGCCGAGTGGTTTCCCCTGTTTTCTATGTAAAAAAAATGCGGGCCCAGGGGGGGGGCACTTCAATTGAAAACATACAACGGTCACTGGAAGAGGGTGATCAACAATAATTATTCTTCAGCAGTGATAACTCAACAACAATAACAACAATAACACCAATAACCACAACACCAGCAACAATCATTTAAGACTTGTACGCTCTTACTGGCACGCATGTCTTGCATTCTGTATACCCCACCCCTCGATACCCGCCCATTTCGTCCTCGATCACACCCCCTCTTGGAAGGAATATCCTTGCTGGCCACTGACTGGAGTGCGTGGTACTCTCGAGCGACAGCGCCGTTCCTGAATTCGGGGGCCTCTCTGGCCAGGGGTTCTCGGAATACGTAGCACCCCGCAAATGCGGATAAGAGTGAGGGGGCGGTGGGGACATCGGCAGTTTGCGAGACTCCGGAGAAGCCCGCCGCAGGCGCCAAAGTTTCACAAATTATACAACGAGCCCGCCGCAGGCGCCGATTTTTTCGTTAAACCAATGTGGGTAGGTCGCGGGTGGGTCGCAAATGGGTCGCTGTTGGGTCGCGGGTGTAGAGGGCAGAAAATCCACCCCAGAATAAACACCCCGACAAGCGAAACCGTTTAGTAAACGCACACAATAAATGAATCGAACAGGGCTGGGCTATTTAGTAAACGCCCAAGTCCGTTTAGTAAACGTAAGTTGTCGGGTCCGGTTTATTTTTCCTCCCTTGAGGGTGGGTCGCGGGGCGGGTCGCGGGTGGGTCGCGGGGTGGGTCGCGGGTGGGTCGCGGGGTGGGTCGCGGGTGGGTCGCGGATGGGTCGCGGGTGGGTCGCGGGGTGGGTCGTGCGTGGGTCGCGGGTGGGTCTCGGGGTGGGTCGCGGGGTGGGTTGCGGGATGGGTCGCGGGTGGGTCACGGGGCGGGTCGCGGGTGGGACGACGACAACAAACAACAACAACAACACCACCAACAACAACAACAACAACAACAATCATCTTAAGACGGTTCGCTATTATCGGCTCGCGTGTCATCCAATATGCGTGCCCCAAACCATGGATATCCGCCCTCTTCGTATTCGATCGTGCCCCTTTTTTGGGGGGTGAACTCATCCCCTGCCACGCGTGGTTGGTGAAGCCCTGGAAAACGAAGGGCAACAGATAACGGGGGAGAGCGGGGGCGAAGGGATCGGAGGAAAGGAGGGGCGGGGCAAGAAGGAGGGAGGACGATGATTTGCGCTGTGAGTGGCGATTCAGCTTGCGCCATGGCTTGCGCCAGCCACTACAATACAGGTTAACAATAAGTTTCGCCATGGGTCGCGCCATCTACTCACGCACCACCCCCTGGAAAGAACATATCGTGGATGCCCCCGCGGGGGGGCGTACAACTGTGAACTAGTGTCAGAAACAAACTTCGTGGAACCCTGAAGAGAAGCAGGATGTTGGGGGAGCGGGGCGGAAAACTAATGAGAACTGCAACCGCGTCGAGAGGGGCGCGGGGGCGCGGGGTGGATTGGGATGGGGTGGGCAAGAGTAGGGCCCCAGGGGGAGGAGCGGCAAGGAATGGAGAAAACGAGCCGGGAGGAGTGCGGAGGAGCGGGGGGCGCGCGGAGGAATCTGGAGGAGGGGCTGGGAACAATTTGGGAGAAATGCGGAATGTGAGCGGGAAGGGGTGGAGATTGTCGGGGTGGGATGGGGCGGCCCGGGGAGGGGCGGGCGGAATGCGATGCATTGAGGACTGGCACAATGGAGCACGACATGAAAGTGAATGTAAAGGGAAAGAGTAGAGAAGACTGGGAAGGAACGTTGAAAAGCGTGGGCAGGTGGACGCGAGCGGAGACTATTGCGGAAACAAAGCGCGGGGGGATTGGAATGCACCCGAAAGCCTCCAATGACCTCTGGGGGGCCTCGGAATGGCCCCGATGACCACCGAGCAGTTCCAGGGGCTCCGAAAACCTGCGGGAACGCCCCGGGGGCCTCACCGAGGGAGGCCTTCATTCGAAGCCTGCAGAAGAACCTGGGCCACTGGAACACGCGCGCCTCGAAGGCCGGCAAACCGGGCCCCGGCGAGCGGCGGGCCGTCGGCCTGGCCAGCGGCAACGCTGGCGATGCACGCGCCGACCCGCGGCAACCCGACCCCAAGATGGACAGACAGCGGGCTCACCGCGACGACGACGACCACGACGAGGAGGGAGGAGGAGGAAGAGGAGGAAGAGGAGGAAGGAGGAGGAGGAGGAAGGGAGGGAAGGGAGGGGAGGAAAGAAGGAGGGGGGGAGGGAAGGAGAAGAGGGAGGAGGGCGGGGGCTGGAGGGCCGACAGGCTGGCCCTCGGCAGGCAGCGAGGCAGTCGCACGGAGAATCGGCCTGGCTGGCTGCAGGGTCGGAGTGCCGGGCCCCAGGCGGCAGGCGGGCCCCAAGGGGGGCGGCCAGGGACGACGACGACGACGACAATGACGACAATGACGATGAGGGAAGGGAGGGAGGGAGGGAGGGAGGGAAGAAGGGGGAGGAGGGAGCAAGGAGGGGCGGAGGGACGGGAGGGACAGCTGCGAAAGGAAAGAGAGAAGAGAGAGAGAGAGAGAAAGAGAAAAAAAACGAGAGAAAGAGAGAGAGAGAGAGAGAGAGAAAGAGAAAAAGAGAGAGAAAGAAAGAGAGAAAGAGAGAGATAAAGAGAGAGAAAAAGAGAGAGAGAGAGAGAGGAAAACTACAAGACTGAGAGAGAAAGAGAAAAAGAGAAAGAGAGAGAGAGAGAGAGAAAAAACAGAAAAAAAAAAAAAGAGATAGCGCGGAGGACGAGGAGGATGCGGACCCCCGAAGCCCGGCCGACCCCGAGACCCGGCCGAACCAGTTACGCACTGGGCCCCCGACGCCCACGGACTGCGCCAGGCCCCGGCGCAGAGGGGGAACGACAGAACGGCAGAGGGGATGCGAGGATGAGAAATTACATAATCCAGCGCCACAGAAGGCAGCGACGGGGCCGCTGAGGGCAGACACGGTGCCACGAAGGGCAGCGAGGGGGCCACAAAGGGCGACAGCGGGGCCACGAAGGGCATGCACATGGGGTCACGACGGGCGCGAACGAGCGGAGGCCACGGAGGGCATTCGTAGATGGGGCCGCAAAGGGCGACAGCGGGGCCACTGAGGGCAGCAAAGGGGCCACGAACGGCAGCGAGAGGACTACGAAGGGCGACGGCGGGGCTACGAAGGGCATGCGTATGGGGCCACGACGGGCGACTGCGAGCGGGGCCACGAAGGGTATTTAATCCGGGGCCACAGAGGGCAGCGACGGGATCGCTGAAGGCAGAAACGGGGCCACGAATGGCAGCGAGGGGGCCACAAAGGGCGACAGCGGGGCCACGAAGGGCATGCATATGGGGCCACGACGGGCGCGAACGAGCGGGGGCAACTAACGCATTCGTAGATGGGGCCACAAAAGGCGACAGCGGGGCCACTGAGGGCAGCAAAGGGACCACGAAGGGCAGCGAGAGGGCCACGAAGGGCGACAGCGGGGCTACAAAGGGCATGCGTATGGTTGCGAAGAGATCCAAAGCGAGAGCGCGATTCCCCAATAAACTATGAAGAAGTATCCGGCGGG